GTCCATATGAGTTCTGCTTTTGCTGGCAGAATGATGTTGCAGACGGAATGCCTGTATGATTGGTGTTGAAAACTGCATTAGTTCTATCAAAATTACGTGATTGACGCAACTCTTCTTGATCGCGCGATGTTCTTGAAAGCAAGCCATGCACGACATAAAATTAGAGCGGTGGGGAGGGCGGGGGGTTGGGGGGTTGGGGCCGGGCAGACACCCCCCGATTTGCAAACCTAATGTATGTCTGTATCAAGGAGGGTCCATATAGGCTGTTTTTCACTGGCAGGATGATGTTGCAGACGAATGCCTGTGCGATGGACTTTTTGAGACTTCAAAAACTGCTCTAAGAGTTATGTGAGCTGTGATGAACTGGAATTTCAGTCGATTCAGTGTCTCTTCCTTTATTTATCTCGTTCTTGCTGTCTGCTTTCTTTATTTCGTTCTTTATTCATTTCGTTCTTTTGTTCTTTCTTTCTTGCTGTCTGTCTTTGTCTCTGTGCTGAACTGTTGTCCTTTCTTGCTTTCTTGCATACTTCATTTTACAAGTTAAGCACAATGCTCGCATGATTGGGCTGTTTGAAAGCTTCATGGCACGCCATGCTTTGAAGCATGGGATTTTGCTTTGCATCAAGTATTTTGGGCTTTGATTTGCGCAAGCTACTGCGGGATTACAATCCCCACGCTCTTGTTTTACGGGAAGCTATTGGTGAACTAAAATGTGTGAGGTTTCGCTTTGCATCAAGCTATTTGGGAATTCTAATTTGCTGAGGGCCCCGATTTGCGCCAAGCTATTGGGGGATTACATCTCCGAGGCCTTTGTCTTGCATCATGTTATTAAGTAATTCCGATTTGCAAGATCTCGTTTTGCGCAACGCTATTGGGAATTACAGCGTTCCTTGTTTGCTGTGTATTTCTTATGTTGTTCGTTGTCGTTCTTTATGTATTTGCTTCTTGATTTCCTTCTTTCATTATTTCTTTCTGTCCTCCTTTCTAGATTTCGCTTGGAATATTTTTCATCCCTGGCACAAGTGTCTGTGCTTTGTGTTGTTTCGTTGTCAGTTGCTATCATATTTGCTTTTGAAATAGGAATAGTTTCTGTTGAACCCTTGAATAACTCTTCTGATCCCTCAAAGAGTTGCTTTGATGCTTGACATATGTTGTTTAATCCCCTAAGAAGTTAGTTTAATCCCCATCCGCTGCGTTGACTATTAACCCTTCCTCGCATCATGTGCTGGCTGCAGGCTACATTCCTTGTGCTGCTGCCTCTTCTTGCCCCTGTTGGCTCTCTGAGGCTCGGCAGAATTGAATCTTGGAAGCTTCGTCGCATGACCGCACACCCTGTCAGGAAGCCCGAGCTGCATGGGAGACTATCTTTGATTCGCTCCTCCTTCGTCTTTTCTTTGCCCTTCCCTTGGACCGATGTACACAGGAGCCTTGAGCCGTGAGAAAAGTGCGAAAAGCCACCCTGTGGCTTTTTCACATTTTGGCATGAGAGAATATGAGATGAGAATGAGCGTATACGAGCCAGAGCCGCTCTCTGCCTGCCTGGGCCACGTGTGCCTGTGCAGCTGAGTTCATCTGCTGCATCGCCTGCGCTGCCTGGGTCCCAAAATTCACGCGCCTCACAAAAATCGAAGGTCCTCTCCCTGAGCTTTTCACCACTTGTTGAGTCACTGGTGGTGTCTCCTTCATCACCTTGGTGGAAGCTGGGGTGCTGACAGCAACTAGGAGAACCTGCCAGGAAAAGCTCACATGATGCTAAGGCTGATGCCGACGGTTTGTCAGGAGCTTGAGGAGGGGTGATGGCTGTAGGCGAGCCCGGTATGCACATGGTCGGATAATCACCCGTAGTTACCTCAGCGCTTTATTTTGCTGTTCTGAATGAAGCAGCGGCAGCAGTACATCGGGAAGCCTGAACTGCCACACTTCCAAACCTTTGGCAGTCCAAGCGGCAAGTGACGGAACAAAGAAGACGGGAGTGCCGCAGGCCATCAGGTTGGACTGGCAGGCGGTTCGCGAGGATATTGCAGGATATTGCTGTTGCTGCAGTGCGTCCCGCAGCCGAGCTGGTTCATTCAAGCCAGGCTCCTGATACAGCGGCTGGTTCTGCCCCAGCTTCTGTTGCCCATTCGCCTGCTCAAGCGCTTGCTGATGGTGTCAGAACAAGGGCTACATGAGGAAGTTCCCTGGAGAAGTAGAGTAGAGGACGGTCCGTCCAAGACGCGATCCACGGGTGTCAGAACAACCCGCGAAGTCAGCAATACTGCAATGCATGCAGCAGCTATGCCGCTCTGCCCAACTTCCCGATCCTCTGGTGATCTCGTTTAAACCTCTTTCCGACAGCTTTTGTGACCTATGCAAACGAGAATCAACGAGTAAGTTACATTTGCCTTGGGCTCGTCCGCATGTGACCGCACAGGAGGCTGCGGCCGTCCAGCTTGAGATCGCCCCCTGGTTGCTTCCAGGACATCGTGGCTCAATGAAAACATCGGCACGGAGATAAAGGAGCAGAGATAAAAAGAGAGAGACATATTCATGGATAATCTATAATTCTACGTAGCGAGTGTACAGAGACGTACAACAGAGACGCAGAGAGGCAGGCACAGAGGGCTGAGTGCCAGAGAGCCAATGAGAGACAGAGAAAGACAGACGTTTGCAGAGCGACAAGGAGACAAGTGATATCTGATGCTTAACATCGGGTGCTCCTCTCGATCTCCATCTCGAGGAGCTCGAGCTGCTCGAGCTGGATAGCCCTTTCTCTTTGGTCGGCTGCAGAAAAGCCCGGCACGATCCTCAACCTGGGCCGTGTTGTTTCGCTAGGTGCGCAGAAGCATTGACGCGATGGCAGGCATTTTGTCAGATTGTGGCATGAGAGCATGTCGCCCAGCAGCGGAAAAGATCAAGCCGCACATCTTCTTGAAGCACACATCATGTGACATGCTGCAGACCGGAGAGATAAATCACGAGCCAAGACTCTCCTCTCTGTTGTGGGCATATGTGCAGGTGGGGTCCTGGCATTGAGTCCAAGCTTGATCTTCCCAACTGTGATACTAGCTGTAAGCGGTCCTCACAGCGTCCAGTTTGCATCATTTGCTTGCAGATTTTGGTGCGAGCAAGGTCTGGCAGGCCTTGCAACTCACCTTGTTCAGGCAGCACGCAGCAGGTGGAGACGGCTCTACATCCATCCATGTTTGCCGAAAAGTCGCTTTGGTCATGTGCGAACCGACATTGAGCCCCTCTCCTGACGTCGATTTTGCAGCATCAACCAGCGGCGATCAATTTCCGGTCACTTGGCGGTCCAATGCCGGCGAGGCGCTGACAGCTGCCCATCAAGTGAAACTTGCACATCCTTGGTTCAGTTCTCACGCAGTCAAGTGTCTGCAACAAGTCTTACGGATGGGGTCTGAGTCTGCCAATCTCAGCTTCAGCAAACTCAAGATATGGCGAATGTAGCTTCTGAGCGTCTTTGTCTTTTGAAAAACCTGAACAGGGCAACATGCCATCACATGCCTGCCTGCGTACGTACATTTGGCAGGTGGGTGGTTTGCCGCTTGAGCATGTGCCTGCATGCATGTGCCTGCCCATGGTGTATTCGCGCATGTGTTCTTAGCCACAACATACCCGAGGTGCCAGGACACAAACTGAATTTGAAGTATCTGTGCGGGTGAAGCGCATGGCGGCACATGGCGCCATGCAAACGAAGTTACAGAAGTTTCAGTGGTCGCATGGAAGGGAGTGCAAACATGAATCCTTGCACCTGTAAAACCACGACGAGGCAGCTGCACCTGTACACGCAGCGTGTGACATAAGTAAGAGCCTGCGTTCTCTCAAGCAAGTGTGGTCATGGCTGCGCCCTCAGAGCTTTGGCTCCTGCTTGTACCTCAAACCAGCCTCAAGGATCACCGGAACCGTATGATCTCGATCGTTGCAGGCGATTCTCGGTCATCCGACTACCAGCAGCGCGGGCGTGTGCCCGCGCGGGTAGGTGGGTAGGCGGGTAGGTAGGCAGTAGGTAGGCAGTAGGTAGGCAGGTAAGTAAGTAGGTAGGCAGGCAGGCAGGTGGGTAGGGGCCGCGGTCGGAGCGAGAGAAGAGGCTGCTGAGCAGGCTGAGTAGTTGAATGTCTGAACATAGATACGACGCCAAGGAGACACAACGCATCTGGAAGAGCTTCCACATCTGCGGAAGGTCTACACCGTCCAAATTAGGGGAAGACGGTGCCCTGTTGCAGATTTGATTTTGCCAGCCGGCAATGGCTCATGTAAGAACGTGCACATCATGCACGATGCCTTCGAGCTATGCGTGCTTCGGTCAGTACGTCCGACCATACGATTCCGCGGATTAGGTCGCTAGCTCAAACTCTCGGATCCGTTTGTCTGATCATCCATGCTTCCCCGAGCGGCTGCATGTCGTAAGTGTCTGAAAAGCCGCTAGCACATTACGCCACCACCTTTGTTGAAAAGACAAGCCGAACATCTTCAAACATCTCCATTCTCCCAGCACAAGAAAAATGAAAGCTTAGCATTGGGGATGCGGCCTGGCCTGTGTTCTCTCTGCACGTCGATCTTCGTCTGCTTGCCCTCGTCGACCTCGCCTTCTTCCGGCAGCATGCTCCATGGCACAGGCCGGACGGCGACGCAGGCCGCCGACAGGCCGCCGCCTCACCTTTCCTCGCCTTTCCTTCAAGAGGAGCCCTTTTTGCAATTGGCCTCTGCGGACCTGGATCTCCGAAGCGAGGGGCGTTCGCTGGGAATTGTTGCAGGGGCTCCAAACGAAATCGGGTACGGTCCTGTCTTGAAAGCTTCTTGCCATGACAAGGGTCAAATCAAGCTATTTTGCCATGTTTTGAACCAAGCACGAGTCCGGTTGCATGTGGCTGACACGAACACGAGGAGCGGTACTGAACACCAGCAACTACTGAACAACGGCCAGTCTGCCTTCTTGCATCTCCGCTCACAGTGCGAAACGACGCATGTGTGGTTGGCAGATCGCATCTCCCTCAGCCCACCTTAGCCTTGTCACTGCCGTCGCCTGCTTTGAGCCTGTCATGTCTCGCACCCATCAAAATCTGGCAAGCACCTTGTCCCGTCCAATAACTGCCAGGGGAACAGGGGCTTCAGCGACGAAAGCCATGGCTCCAATGATGCTTCTGGAGTTTTCAGCGTCAGGCTTTGACCTGACTTCAGAACTTCAAGCGTGCACCCCGAATCAGCGATCACTGAACAGGCTCGGAAGCATCACCTCCGACCAAGATCAGAGAAAAGCCATCCTCCTGAACCTGCAGCTGCGATGAATTTCGATATTCTGCCAAAGCTAAACGCTGCTAGAGTCTGCTAGAGGGTTTCAAGTGATGCGGGTGAAGCGAAATAGCTTCTCGATCGGAGCCCGCCTCCAGCTTTTCCACCTCGTTCAAGGTCAAGCGACCTCGTGGCTCCGACTTCTCATCGGCCTCTGCGGTGAAGTAGTCTAATCTGTCCTTCCAGGATTCCAGAGTGGTCGCTGCATTGAACCCGACGAGTGCAAGAAGTCCTTGAACAATACGAAAAAGCGGGACTCGATTCCCTTCTTCTTCTGCACACCCAAGGTCCTGGAGAGCAGGCTGCAGCAATGCAGGTGCAATTGAGTTCAGTAACAATGCCGTAAGTTGCATTGCCGTGGCTAAGGCGGGAGCTCTTTGCGGATCACCTCCTGCGCAGTCAATGTCTCCAGTCGGCCTATGTGCCAGTTTCCCGTGGCACGAGGCTGAATCGCACGCGGTCCTGCTGAGCCATGCTCGAAGTGCAGTCACGGGCATCACTTTGCCCCACCTTGCTTTGTCATGCTGGATTCTGACCCTGATCGTTTTGGAGAAGAGAGAGAGAGAGAGAGAGACAGAGAGAGAGAGCAAGGCGGCTAGAAAAGACTCTGCGATGTGCGCAGGAATACAACGGATGATTGTGCTGCGAGCCGCTGATCTTTAATCTGAATAGCGCCAGGGAATTGCAAAACACTTAAGTTCGTGCCGTCTCGCGAAACAGAACTGGTTGTTCACTATGAAGGGCATCGTTCATGTTGTCAACGTTGGGCACGATTTGGGGCATCTCTGCAATTTGAGACATTCGGGTTGGAGCTCTTGGGGAGCCGGGAAAAACGAGCAGCGTCTCGTTGCTTGCAGTGCAACGACAAGGTGCCCTTCACTGAGCCTGCAACCTTCGGGGAAATGCCGCGTCAAATTAACTAAGTCGAGCCAGCAATTGCAGCATAGCGACACGTGGGAGAGTCTCAAGTGGAAGGTCATTGAATCCAACAACCACAAGCTGTCGCGCTTTGGTACTTTGATTCACATCTGTGCACGTTTGCACCATTCACGTGTCCACATCACGGGTTTTATTGAACTGTGATTATACAGTTGCCTCAATCAACCCTGCTGCTCCTCTGGAGTACGCTGTCGTCATGCCTTCCAACACGCACTGGGGCCTTCAGTAAAGAGAGTGTTTCACTTCTGACAACGCGTTTTCTGCTGGCGCGGAGGCACCTGCAGCCCTCCACAGTGAGGGACAGCTCGGTCCAACAATCACCGTCTTCAATGCTTGTAGTCTTATCACTCTCTTCGTTCGGGTAAGCCGATGATCGACGTTGTGGAGAATCGCCCCCCGTCTGGAGATGAGAAAATCAAAAGTTCAGAGAGGCCAGAAAGCAGGCCTGGCACTTTTGCCAGTTCTCTTAAGCCAAAAGTGATCTAACTGTACTGAGGCTCAGCTTCGTCAGCACGGGACGTTGCATGAATCGAACACACCAGAAACATGACCAACGAAGCAGCAGAAGCAAGGCTACTGAATCCGATTACCCACGCTGCCCGCCCGAACTGCGTCTGGAGGCTGACTACATTGACTTTGTCGATATAGTCTACGTGGTCTGGCACACCCCTTGCAGCACCGGTCACTCTTCAAAGGACTGCAACAGCTCCGACCTGCAAAGTCCGAGGAACTGCAGAGGTGCAATTGCAGTTGCACGATCTCTCTTAGCAGGAGTGGCCCACCTCCGCTTCCACATCCTCAGCTTCAGCTGGATCGCTCCAGCGGCCGTGCCTGAGCCGAAAGACATTAAGCGGAGGTTAGCGAAAGTACTAAAATCCACCGCAGCCGCGGTCAGATTCGAGTACCAATTACTTTCTGAATGGCCCCGCATCCTACAGAATGGGAAGAACAGTAGACCCTTAGTCACGTGCTCCTTGATCAGATCGACCAGTGCCTCACCGCTCATGTGCACCGAAGGAGTGAAGCAAAGGCTGAACTCAAACTGGTGTCACTCAAGGCGCCACCTGCCTCAACAGCTTCAGCGGATGGAATTCCCCGCTTCACAACGTCGTAGTTGACATAGAGGTCGACCCTTATGTGGCGCTTACTCCAATTCCCCCCTGAAGGGAAACGGCCGGATAGTGCGAACCGTCTGCACAAGTGTGTTATTTTACTTTCGTACTTGGACCTGCTTGAGCGGAGCTTTCGGAAAGCTTTAGGCGTGTGTCGGCGTGCGACTAGGTCGTGCGTCTTCTTCCAAGGATGCCCCCCAGTCCTGCTTTTGGCAGCCGAGCACAAGGTTCCTCTTCCCGTTCCACCGAAGTGCTGCCTAGCATGTCTGCCCAACTCTCTTTTCCTTGTGATGCATTGGGGAGACAGGGACACGCCACGCACTCTTAGTGGTCCCGATGAACCACCGGCCGGCCCCTTGAAAACTACAGACGTTGCAGTTCATGCTTGTAGTCTCCTGGTTCTTCTCCTTTGCAGTTGCCGGTGCTCCGGGCTTCATGCTGTTGTCTTTGCAAAAGTGGCCCTGCTCCGATCACTTTTGCCCCTGCAATATGCTACGTCGGAAACTTCAGAAAGGCTCGGAGACATTGAAGTGAAATATTCGAAGCGACTGGTTCAACAAAGCTGAGCTTCGGTGTACTCTCCATGGTCGGGTATTCCCGCTGCTCGACAGCCACATGGTTGTTGATCTCAATACCTTCATACCGGAATGACCTTCTTCGCGGCAAAAATTAACTTTCGCAATACAATCGCGGAGCTTTCGCAGAGGCATATTTACATGCCTTTGCAAGTTCGAGCCCCGAATTACAAGCCCCAAATGAATGCGCAAAGCTTCCTACAAGCTTCTCGACGGCAAGCTTTTCCGGGCATTATAAGTACTGGGAAGCTGCATGAAAGGTACTGTACAATAGTTGGAAAGGGCTGGGTACGGCCGTCTTAGGGTTGGATTCTTGACGAAGCCGTCTGAAGGGTTAGATGCTTGAGCTTTTTGCGATGAACCTGGCCTAGATCTAGCTACGTCGACTTTAGAGAAGCTTACACGGAGCTTACGAGCTAGACCCTGTACGGGAACCTGATTTTGGCACTTGGCTGTAGCAGCAGCAGCAGAAACATCAGCAGCAGCAGCAGCAGCAGCAGCACCAGTAACAGCAGTGGCAGTAGCGGTAGTAATAACATGAAAAAGTGGTGCTGGCAGTATAGCAGTAGCAGTAGCAGCAGCAG